AGGGTCATACAAAAAATTGTCATAAGCGACATACGAACATTTGTTATAGGCAGCATACAGAGTACCATAGGCCACGTACCGACATGCATAGACCGCATACAGAGCATCGAAGGCGACATACATATCACGCTTTTATCACGCTTTAATAAAAATCGACCGCACGTTGTAGACCGCATACAGAGTACTATAGGCCGCATACAGAATACCGTGGACCGCGTACAGAGTGTCGTAAACCACATACAAACATTTATAGACCACGTGCCGACATTCGTAGACCACATACAAAGCGTCGTAGACCACATGCCGAGCGTCGTAGGCGACATACAAACGTTCGTGGATGGCATACAAATACTTCTAAGCGGCGTACAAAAAATACTTATAAGCGACATACGAACGCTTATTACGGGCAGCATACAGAGTACCGTGAATGGCATACGGAGCATAGTAGACCACATACGGAGTGTCGTAAGCGAGATACGAATGTTTCCAAGCGACAAACCGATATTTCCCAGTGGCGTACGAATATTTATAAGCGGCATACAAAAAACCGTCATAAGCGACATACGGACGTTTATTATAGGCAGCATACAGAGTACCATTAAATGACGTACGGAGCATAGTAGACCACATACGGAGTGACGTAACCGACATACAAATATTTCTATGCGGCATACAAATATTTCTAAGCGGCAGACAGAAAATCATTATAAGCGACATACCAACATTTATTACAGGCAGCATACGGAGTACCGCAAACGGCGTACAGAGCATAGTAGACCACATACAGAGTGTCGTAACCGACATAAGAATATTTCAAAGCGGCATACGAATATTTATAACCGACATACCAGACATACATCGTAGTCCGAGGACGACGTGATTTCGAGTATCCGTTAGAGGGTTAGATTAGAGTCACACCACGTTAGAGGTATTAGTGTTTCGGTTATAGTTTCGGTTATAGTCAGATTAGGTGAGGATTAGAGTGAGGATTAGGTGAGGTTTAGTGTTTCGGTTAGTGGTTCGGTGAGGAACGTTATCATTTCGTATCGATGTATTGTATCACGCATTTATCAGGCTTTCATAAAAATCGACCGTACGTCGTAGACCGCATACAGAGTACCGTAGACCGCGTACCGACATTTGTAGACCGCATACAGAGCGTCGTAGGCAACATACGAATGTTGGTAGATGACATACAAATATTTCTGAGGGTCATACAAAAAATTGTCATAAGCGACATACGAACATTTGTTATAGGCAGCATACAGAGTACCATAGGCCACGTACCGACATGCATAGACCGCATACAGAGCATCGAAGGCGACATACATATCACGCTTTTATCACGCTTTAATAAAAATCGACCGCACGTTGTAGACCGCATACAGAGTACTATAGGCCGCATACAGAATACCGTGGACCGCGTACAGAGTGTCGTAAACCACATACAAACATTTATAGACCACGTGCCGACATTCGTAGACCACATACAAAGCGTCGTAGACCACATGCCGAGCGTCGTAGGCGACATACAAACGTTCGTGGATGGCATACAAATACTTCTAAGCGGCGTACAAAAAATACTTATAAGCGACATACGAACGCTTATTACGGGCAGCATACAGAGTACCGTGAATGGCATACGGAGCATAGTAGACCACATACGGAGTGTCGTAAGCGAGATACGAATGTTTCCAAGCGACAAACCGATATTTCCCAGTGGCGTACGAATATTTATAAGCGGCATACAAAAAACCGTCATAAGCGACATACGGACGTTTATTATAGGCAGCATACAGAGTACCATTAAATGACGTACGGAGCATAGTAGACCACATACGGAGTGACGTAACCGACATACAAATATTTCTATGCGGCATACAAATATTTCTAAGCGGCAGACAGAAAATCATTATAAGCGACATACCAACATTTATTACAGGCAGCATACGGAGTACCGCAAACGGCGTACAGAGCATAGTAGACCACATACAGAGTGTCGTAACCGACATAAGAATATTTCAAAGCGGCATACGAATATTTATAACCGACATACCAGACATACATCGTAGTCCGAGGACGACGTGATTTCGAGTATCCGTTAGAGGGTTAGATTAGAGTCACACCACGTTAGAGGTATTAGTGTTTCGGTTATAGTTTCGGTTATAGTCAGATTAGGTGAGGATTAGAGTGAGGATTAGGTGAGGTTTAGTGTTTCGGTTAGTGGTTCGGTGAGGAACGTTATCATTTCGTATCGATGTATTGTATCACGCATTTATCAGGCTTTCATAAAAATCGACCGTACGTCGTAGACCGCATACAGAGTACCGTAGACCGCGTACCGACATTTGTAGACCGCATACAGAGCGTCGTAGGCAACATACGAATGTTGGTAGATGACATACAAATATTTCTGAGGGTCATACAAAAAATTGTCATAAGCGACATACGAACATTTGTTATAGGCAGCATACAGAGTACCATAGGCCACGTACCGACATGCATAGACCGCATACAGAGCATCGAAGGCGACATACATATCACGCTTTTATCACGCTTTAATAAAAATCGACCGCACGTTGTAGACCGCATACAGAGTACTATAGGCCGCATACAGAATACCGTGGACCGCGTACAGAGTGTCGTAAACCACATACAAACATTTATAGACCACGTGCCGACATTCGTAGACCACATACAAAGCGTCGTAGACCACATGCCGAGCGTCGTAGGCGACATACAAACGTTCGTGGATGGCATACAAATACTTCTAAGCGGCGTACAAAAAATACTTATAAGCGACATACGAACGCTTATTACGGGCAGCATACAGAGTACCGTGAATGGCATACGGAGCATAGTAGACCACATACGGAGTGTCGTAAGCGAGATACGAATGTTTCCAAGCGACAAACCGATATTTCCCAGTGGCGTACGAATATTTATAAGCGGCATACAAAAAACCGTCATAAGCGACATACGGACGTTTATTATAGGCAGCATACAGAGTACCATTAAATGACGTACGGAGCATAGTAGACCACATACGGAGTGACGTAACCGACATACAAATATTTCTATGCGGCATACAAATATTTCTAAGCGGCAGACAGAAAATCATTATAAGCGACATACCAACATTTATTACAGGCAGCATACGGAGTACCGCAAACGGCGTACAGAGCATAGTAGACCACATACAGAGTGTCGTAACCGACATAAGAATATTTCAAAGCGGCATACGAATATTTATAACCGACATACCAGACATACATCGTAGTCCGAGGACGACGTGATTTCGAGTATCCGTTAGAGGGTTAGATTAGAGTCACACCACGTTAGAGGTATTAGTGTTTCGGTTATAGTTTCGGTTATAGTCAGATTAGGTGAGGATTAGAGTGAGGATTAGGTGAGGTTTAGTGTTTCGGTTAGTGGTTCGGTGAGGAACGTTATCATTTCGTATCGATGTATTGTATCACGCATTTATCAGGCTTTCATAAAAATCGACCGTACGTCGTAGACCGCATACAGAGTACCGTAGACCGCGTACCGACATTTGTAGACCGCATACAGAGCGTCGTAGGCAACATACGAATGTTGGTAGATGACATACAAATATTTCTGAGGGTCATACAAAAAATTGTCATAAGCGACATACGAACATTTGTTATAGGCAGCATACAGAGTACCATAGGCCACGTACCGACATGCATAGACCGCATACAGAGCATCGAAGGCGACATACATATCACGCTTTTATCACGCTTTAATAAAAATCGACCGCACGTTGTAGACCGCATACAGAGTACTATAGGCCGCATACAGAATACCGTGGACCGCGTACAGAGTGTCGTAAACCACATACAAACATTTATAGACCACGTGCCGACATTCGTAGACCACATACAAAGCGTCGTAGACCACATACAAAGCGTCGTAGACCACATGCCGAGCGTCGTAGGCGACATACAAACGTTCGTGGATGGCATACAAATACTTCTAAGCGGCGTACAAAAAATACTTATAAGCGACATACGAACGCTTATTACGGGCAGCATACAGAGTACCGTGAATGGCATACGGAGCATAGTAGACCACATACGGAGTGTCGTAAGCGAGATACGAATGTTTCCTATCTATAGGCCACAGGCCTAACGCTACGTTAGGCCGCCCGACTTTCCGCCCCTGTATCCCTTCCTTCCTCCCTCGTTTCGGTCCCTCGGCTATCTCAAAAGATCGCCCGACATCGAATCTACCAACTACCCGAAGATACAGTTCGACGGAGATCTGGGTCGCCGTGGCCACCGGCGGCAATCAGCCGACTTTCCCACCTCGCGCGTCTTCGACTCCTCGATTTTTTCTCGTCCTCACCCTCTACCCCTCACCTCATATTGTATATCGTCCGATAGCCTGGCCGTCTGGCTTCAAGATACTACCGATTTCGGGAGGGGTTCAAGAGTTTGGTCGACGATACAGCCGGGCGAAGTGGCGGGGTGCGCGCCGGCGCGCCCTTGGTGAGTTCTCTCCCTTCGTTTCTGATGTTGCGCACACTCAAATCCCTCGAACGCGATAGGGTCAGGTAGACGACGGTCGTGGCTACAAGACGAGACCCCGCTCGGGGAGAACGGCCTCGTCGTTGTGAAGATACAGGCGAGGGAAGTGGGCGGGCGCGCACCAGCGGCAACGAGGTACGCTCACCTCCTTTCAAAACTCTTCCATTCGCCCATCGAGGGGGCTCGAAACTACCTGCGAACCGTACAACGGGTCGTAGGCAGAACTAACCTAACTGACTAACGTCACCGTCGTGTTTCCGTGGCGACACCTAGACCTCCACCTCAGCCTGAGGCTCGCGGTCCCCTGCGCCATCGAACGGAAACGCTTCACCCCGCATTCATTCAGGAGGGTTCGAGAGGGCCCAGGTGAGCCAAACAAACTCTTCTTGTTTGTTTTCAGTCGTGCTAATCTTTTACAGCGTAGTTGTCGTCGCGCGGGCCACCACAATGCAACAGCGGCTCGCAGCTCCCTCTTCGCTGTTGCCAAGGCCTCGCGAGGCCCCGCGAAACCCCATTCCACCTCCCTGCACTCTCCTTCGAGCCTCCTCGACGCATGCAAGACCTCAGGGGCGAACGGCGGTGCCCTGATCGTCGCACCGGCCAGCGCAGTGCGATGAAGCCATCCCGCCCCCTCCTCGCGACCTCCTGGGGGTTCCTAAGGCCCGACGAACGCCTACGACACCCCCTCGCATCCACCTCCTACCCTCGTTAACACACATTCGCCTTTGGGAGGGCGAACCTGAGGATCGCGGTCTCCTGCACCGTCGAACGGAAACGTTCGACCGCGCGTTCATTCTGGAAGGTTGCAGAGAGCCCAGGTGAGTCAAACAGACACACATTATTTGTTTTTATCCATGCTAATCTCCTATAGTGTAGTTGTCATCGCGTCGGCCACGGTGCTGCAACGACTGCTCCCGGCTCCCTCCTCGCGGTCTCCAGACCCCGACGCTGGCCCGCGTCACCTCCCAGCACCATCCCCCGACCCTCCTCGACCTGCGGAGGCTCGACGCTGGCTCGCATCACCTCCCAGCACCATCCGTCGACCCCTCGACCTGCAGAGGCCCTCTGCAGCGAGCGACAGCACTGCGGTCCCCACGCCGGCCGCCGCGATCCAACGACCACGCCGACCTCCCTTCTCGCGGTCTCCAAGCCCCGACGTATTGTGTTTCCGTGAGCTCCGTGACGAGCATGTCTTCGTGATCATCTATGCCGTTGTCGCCAGCTACTTTGTGTGTGTTATGGTCCGTCTGATCCTTACACTCACACCCGTCGTTTGCGTCGCCTCTGCGATCGCTATTTTGCTCGTTATTGGACATATACATTGACCCTACCGAACCTGAAGTGCTGGAGGAAAATGAGGGCGGCGCGGAGCTTACACAGGCGGAAACTGCTACTAATGCCGCTTCTACTGCCGTCACTGGCCCGCTAATAAGCATAACGGCCCCGCTACTAAGCATAACGGCCCCGTTAATAAGCATAACGGCCCCGCGACTAAGCATAACGGCCCCGACTAAGCGCCGCCCCTCAGCGTAGCGGCCTCGCGATTAAGCATAACGGCCGGCGGGGCGTGGGAAAGCCGCCGCCCAACAAGCGCCGGTTGGACTTAGCTTCGCGCTCCTCCTGCTTGGCTCACCGCCGCGACACCCTTCCACAACGCCGAGGAGGCTCTCCTCGGCGTTGCTCTGCTTTTATTTATTCTTCTCCTGCTTCTGTCCCTCGCCCGTTCCGGTTTGCTCTCGAACGCGGCGCGTCGGCACCGCGTTCTCGGCGACACCTGCACCCTCCACCTTCCACCTCGCGCTGCCCCACGCCGTCGAACGCAAACGTTCGGCGGCGCGTTCGTTCTCGGAGGTTCAAGGGCACCCGAGGTAAGTTCAAAAAATGCTTTTTATATCTATATACTGCCGTGCTAACTTTTCGCAGTCCCCTCGTCGTCGCACCGGCCACCGCGGTGGAACGGCCGCCACCTCGTGGTCCCCAAGGTCCCCATCTGTTCGCGGAGGTCGAAGAGCGCGGTCCAGGTGAGTAAACAAAAAAACTTTTGTATCTATCGCACCGTGCTAACCTTTTGCAGCCGCATCGTTGTCGCTCCGGCCACCGCGGTGCAATAGCAGCGCGCTGCACCCCCCTCGCGGTCGCAGAGACCCCTCGCAGGCCCACCGCCCCTCCCCGCCCATTCCCCGCACCCTCTCCTGACCCTCCTCGACCCTCGCAGGCCCGCCGCAGCGAACAACGGCGCCCCGGTCGTAGCACTCGCCTCCCCTTCCGCCTCGCGCTCCCCCAGGCCATCGAACGCAAACGTTCGGCGGTGCGTTTGTTTTGGGCGGTCGAAGGGAAGTCCAGGTGAGAAAAAAAGAATCCTTTGTCCCTGTGGCGCCCTGCTAACTTTTTACAGTCACGTCGTTGTCGCGCCAGCCACTGCGGTGCAACAACATCGTGTAGCCCCTTCCTCGCGGTCGCGGAGGCCCCTCGCAACACCTCACCACCTCCCTGTGTCCTCTCCCGACCCTCTTCGAACCGCGCAGGCCCGCGGCGGCGAACGACGGCGACGCGATGGTCGCGCCGGCCACCGCGGTGCGACGAAGGCTCGCAGCCCCAATTGCAGCGTTGCCAAGGCCCGCGAGGCCCCGGGCAGCCTCTCTCCACCTCCCAGCACCCTTCATCGGCCGTCTTCGACCCGCGCAGGCCCACGACGGTGAACGACGCCACCCGCGTCGCCACACTGGCTACCGCGGTGCGACGACGGCGCGAACCCCCCCAGCCCACGATCTGCATGGCCCTGCGAAGGCCCGGCCCACCTCTGCCCGTCGTCCCTGCACCCTCCCCGACACACGCAGGCCCACGACGGCGAACGACGCCACCCGCGTCGCCACACTGGCTACCGCGGTGCGACGACGGCGTGCAGCCCCAACCACGCGGTCCCCAAGGCCCCGCGAGGCTCCGCGCAGCCTCTCACCACCTCCTCGCACCCTCCCTCAACCCTCTTCGACGCACGCAGGCCCACAACAGCGAACGACGGAACAGCGATCATCGCGCTGGCCACCGCGGTGCCGCAATGGCGCCAAGCTCCCTCCTGGCGGTCTCCAGCCACCGGCGAAAGCCCGCGTCACCTCTCAGCACCGTCACCCAACCTTCCTCGACCCGCGATCGCCGTATGCAGTGAAAGATCGCGCCTTGATCGTGACGCGGGCCACCACAGTGCAACGACCGCGCCCAGGTCCCTCCTCGCGGTCTGCAGGCCCCGACGCTGGACCCCATCACCTCAGCCAACCTTCCTCGACCACGTTCGCCATCCACAGCGAACGATCGCGCTCCGGTCGTCAGGCTGGCCGCTGCAGTGGAACGACCACGCTGACCGCCCTCCTCGCGGTCTCCAGGCCCCGACGCTGGCACGCATCACCTTCCAGAACCCTCATCCTACCCTCTTCGACGCGCGTTTACCCTCCGTGGTGAACGACTGCCCTCCGGACCTCCCCTGCAACATCGAGCGCCGGTCGCTCGACCAGGACCCCCCTCGCACACTCAAACGCAACGCGTTTGAATGCAAGTTTGCCCAGCACTGCTCGGGCAGTGTAGGTGAGTAAGACAAATATTTTTTCGGCTTTTTTAACGGTGCTAACAACCTTCACCCACTTGAAGCCCGCCGTCCGCGAACGATCCACCGCCGTCCTCGTCCGCGCGAGCAAGCCACCACCGCCATCCTGCTCTTGTCGACGCCACCGTCCTCGTCCTGGCGCTCCCCCAGGCCGTCGAACGCCACCGTTCAGCGGCACGTTTGCTTTCGGAGGTCGAAGGGCATTCTAGGTGAGTCCAAAAAAAGCCTTCTGTCCCTATCCCGCGGTGCTAACATTTTGCAGCCACGTCTTTGTCGCGCCAGCCACCGCGGTGCGACAGCGGCATGCAGCCTCGTCCTCGCGGTCGCGGAGGCCCTGCGAAGCCTCACCACACCCGACTCCACCTCCCTGCACCCTTCGTCGACCCTCCTCTTCGCGCGCAGGTCCACCACGGTGAATGACGGCTCCCCGGTCGTCGCACCGGCCTCCACCCTCCGCCTCGCTCTTCCAGGACGTCGAACGTGACTGTTCCGCGGCACGTCGGTTTTCGGAGGACGAAGGGCATTCCAGGTGAGTCCAAAAAAAACCTTCTGTCCCTATTCCGAGCTGCTAACATTTTGCAGCCGCGTCGTTGTCGCGCCGGCCACCTAGGTGCAACAGCGGCGCGGCCTTCCCCACCCACCATCTCAGCGCGTCCTCTCGATCTTGCAGGGTCCGTGTCGACGACGGACGTCATCCCGTGCGCCAACCGCTGGTGCAGCTTTGCAACGCTGTAAGTATTTTCCCCTCGCGCAGACCCGTTGTTGGCGCGGGATCGGCCTAGGGCCGAGTCGCATTATCTGACTTTCGAGATACAGATGCTGTTCCCCTGGTGCCCTGATTCTCGACAACCGTCTCCGCGCGACACGCTCCCCATTGAGTTTGAAGACAAGCACTACATCCACGCTCACGACCATTTCCGACGGCGCGCAGACGCAGGTTGACTTGAATCTTCATCTCCGTCCTGCGCTCCGACGGTGCAGATGGAGATGGTGCGTACACGGCGGATTCACGCCCGTGCACATTATGCACAAGGGCGGGCACAGACACCGCTCCTTCCTCCGCGGCGTGCACTTCGCTCTGATGGCACTTGGACCCTGGGAAGGCCGTGCTGTCGCTTTCGTTCTCGGTGCGTGTCGTTTCCTCTCTGTGTGTACATTCGGACGTACTGACACTTGGTGTTCTAGCAGGTTGCGAGATCGGTGCGTTGTGCCTCCGCATAACGCTGGCGTCGTCCGCGTCCACGCTATCAATGTGCCTCGCGCTCGGAGAGCCCGACGAAGTCGACGTGCTTCTGGAGACGCACGCCGAAGTTGTTATACAGCCGCAGTAAACAAGAAGGCACGGGTCGCGATCTCGGAGAAGACCCACGTACGTGTGCTAGTATTATATCTACTGTACAAAGTGCGGTCGCGCTTGGGGCTCAAGATACGGCCGAAAAAATATAGTTGTTTCAAGTAGCACTGCAGAGTGAACACACACGGACGGGGACTGCACATCGACGGCGGGAGACTTTGAATACACGAGAAGACGTGTCACGCAACGCGATCTAAGTTTTTTCATGCTGGCTCTTGTTGGATTCTGCTCACTGCCAGTCCCATTCTCCTTTGTCCTCTACTCTCTCCCCGGTCCTTCCGCTACAACGTCCAACCCGCACTCCGCCGTCGTCCAAGCAGTCGCGGTCGCCATGACGCCCGCGCGCAAGCTACACGCTCGAACGTAGTTCGGCGCGCGTGCGCGTCGTTGTCACTGGGCGAAAGGGTGGCGGGCTCTGAGCGAGGCCGTGTAGGTATGTACGCGATTCTCATCTGTTGCGCCGATGGCAAGCAGCCGCTACGTTGAGGGCAGCTGGCGCGTCGTGCCGGACGGCGAGACTGACGGCCTGGTAAGTCTCCGCGCGTTTCTACGTGTTTTCTCTGATTTGTGTTGATGCACCGCACTGAATATTCTTGCAGTATCCGTGCAGAGCTCAGCTCCCACAGCCGAGCAGAGTCTGCTCGCGAGGCCTTGAGGCTGCCGCGTAAAAGATTGGGCGGTGCACCACGTCCTCCTCCGCCCCACGCTCCGTCTGCTTCGAAACCGGGCACGTCGACCATGTCTCGCGCAAAGCCCTCCGTCGTCCTGCCCTCCTGATCTAGCACCACAGGCGAAGTAATCGCCATGCCCTTCGTCCGTCGGCATCGCTCAGCCGAGGAGTGTATGCGCACGGTCTCCGACTCTAGGTGAGCACGCGATGGACGGCGCATTCCCCACAGGTCGGTCAGGCAACGAGGTTTTTGTCACCCGCAGATTCGCGGGTTCGAGGATGACACCCGCGCAACCTCGCCCATCGAGTAATGCGCACGAGGCTACCGCTCGTCGACATCGAAGGGCCCGCTGTCGTCCACGCTGTGAAGACTGGTACGCGATGCATCGCACCTCGACACGTGCAGCTTGACAGCATGACCGCCGCAGCGAAGCATATCACCACTCGACAGCACCACCTGTCGACCGCTCTCCAGTACTCGGCATGCTCGGACCGACATCGATGAGCCCGCCAGTGTTGACCTGCGCAAAGGCTCCATCCGCTTCGACTAGTCATGCCCTGGTTATGGGTGACTTTTCGGGTACCCTAGGGTACCTCCTGGGCCCTAGGGCCGGCGCTTATCGCCCTAGGGAAGGGCGCACGCGCACCTAGGGCCGACACCAGTCGCCTAGGGCATGCACTCCAGGTCGATGTTCAGACCTCGGTCGTACCCAGTGTGACAGTTTTGCCCGCTGCGAAGTCTCTCGGACTGGGTACGACAACCTGCCTGCTGCCATTTCTCTCGGACTGGGTACGACGGCCAGGCTGCTGCCATTTCTCTCGGACTGGGTACGACGGCATGGGTCCTGCATGACTGCATGTGACCTGCTGCTGTTCGGAGATGACACCCTGCTGTTGCCGCGAAAATGGCAGCTCGCAGGCTGTCGTACCCAGTCCGAGAGAAATGGCTCGCAGGCCATCGTACCCAGCGTGAGAGAAAAGCAGCAGGTCGCAGGCCGTCGTACCCAGTCCGAGAGAAATGGCGGTAGCTAGGCCCTCGTACCCAGTCCGAGAGGAGAATGGCGGGCCGCAGGCTATCGCACCCAGTCCGAGAGAAATGGCTCACAGGCCGGGGTCCCAGCCTGAGAGAAACCACTGTGTCGGACTGAGTCCGACACACATGGCAGGTCGCAGGCTGTCGTACCCAGTCCGAGAGAAATAGCAGCAGCCAGGCCGTCGTACCCAGTCCGACAGTAAAAGTGATGGGTCGAGGCTGTCGTACCCAGTCCGAAAGAAATTAATGGCATCAGCCAGGCCGTCGTACCCAGTCCGAGAGAAATGGCAGCAGGCAGGCTGTCGTACCCAGTCCGAGAGACACAGCAGGTCGCAGGTCGTGCTACTCAGCGTGAGAGAACAATAGCAGGCCGCAGGGTGTCGTACCCAGTCCGAGAGAAACAGCAGGTCACAGGCCGTGATACAGTGCAAAAGAAAAATAGCAGCTTGCAGGCCATCGTACCCAGTCCGAGAGACACCGCAAGTCAACAGACCATGGTACTCAGTGTGAGAGAACAATAGCAGGCCGCAGGGTGTCGTACCCAGTCCGAGAGAAGCGGCAGGTCACAGACCGTGGTACCCAGCATGAGAGAAAAATAGCAGGCTGCACGGTGTCATACCCAGTCCGAGAGAAATGGCTCACAGGCTGTGGTCCTAGCCTAAGAGAAACCACTGTGTCGGACTGAGTTCGACCCTCATGGCAGGTCACAGGCTGTCGTACCCAGTCCGAGAGAAACAGCAGGTCAACAGGCTGTGGTACCCAGTGCAAGAGAAAAATGGCAGGTCGCAGCCTGGCGTACCCAGTCCGAGAGAAATAGCTCACAGGCCGCGGTCCCCAGCCTGAGAAAAACCACTGTGTCGGACTCAGTCCGACACATATGGCAGGCAGCAGGCTGTTGTACCCAGTCCGAGAGAGACAGCAGGTCACAGACTGTGGTACCCAGTGCGACACAAAAAATACCAGGTCGCAGGCTGTCATACCCAGTCCGAGAGAAACAGCAGGATACAGGCTGTGGTACCCAGTGCAAGGTTGTCATATTCAGTCCAAGAATAGCAGGTCACAGGCCATCATATGCAGTCTGACACAGATGGCAGGTTGCACGTCGTCGTACCCAGTCCTATCTATAGGCCGCAGGCCTAATGCTACGTTAGGCCGCCCGACTTTCCGCCCCTGTATCCCTTCCTTCCTCCCTCGTTTCGGTCCCTCGGCTATCTCAAAAGATCGCCCGACATCGAATCTACCCACTACCCG